GTTTTCTGATATTATACATATCAATTTTACGCCATTTTTTGAGACTCGGAGACATTCTAATGGGGAAAGGGAGTTTCATTGATAATAGATAATAGATAAGTGAGGATAATAATCAGAAGATTCAACAGGCTTGATTAAACTTGTAACTTCCTTCACTTATGACAGACTTGTATTATATTATATTCTTATCTATATTGTATAGACTTATATATTCAGCTATTTTTTTTTTTTTTCTACGAATAAACTTTTTTCTTTTTTAATGAACATGATACGCGAAAGAGTGCAAAAGGGTTGTTCCCCGACGTCTATCAATGTTCTCATTGTCATCACGTGTCTAGCGTTGATCACTGTTGAAAAGAGAGAGGAAGATTTCGCTGTCCACTTTTGCCGACGAGTCCTCGTCCGCCTCGGACTTTCATTGTCATTGTTGTTGTTGTTATTGTTGTTATAAATCTATCCGCCAGTTTCTACGCCGTGCACGCCGAGTCTGAATGAAGATTAACCGAGGTGCTCGAGTACACGAAAAATTATTAACAATAGCAAAGAGAAAAAACAAGTAAATATTCGAACGATATTCAACCATAGTTCTTTCGTTCAGATTGTAATAAAATTCAAAATCGAATTCATTTCTTCTGTATTTATTGTTACGTTCGATCGACTTGTCATGACTTCCATTTGTTCACGTGTGAAATTTTTATTGTTTTCACAGCGGGAAACGATGAAATCAATTGAGAATTGAACGAGGAGACATCAACAACTGAACTCACAAATCCAGGTTGTTTGTTCACCTTCACTTTATTTCGATTGTATCCCAGTTCTTGTTACGTTTGTTTGCTGGGCGCTGTTTTCCAAATTTCTCCTCTTTCTGTCGATTCCACAGCAGTCCGGCAAAAAATAGCGTTCTCGGGGTATCCGAGTCCTCGCCTAATCGTTCATCAAGTGTTTCTCAAGTACCCGGATACTCTCGTTGTGTCTGCGGAATACGAATACAATCAACAGACACTGACAGTGATTCGGTATGCGTGTAATTATAATATTATATATATATATATGCGTGTTTAATGAGTGTGAAGAAGAAACAAAAAAAAAAAAAAAAAAAAAAAAAAAAAAAAAAAAAAAAAAAAAAA